ATTTTAAGGGAACCAGCAGTTAGCATAATGGCTATGTCGCTGGACTCCCACGCAGTCGACCGCGGTTCACATCCCAGACCCGGTGGCTTAAAACTCACACCGGGCGCGTGTGCATGCGTGCCCAAGATCCTGAGAGGAGAATGGAGGAGAAGGGATTGCAGCGTGACCATCCCCCCTGGGGAGTGATTTCTCGCTTTCTGTCTCTCTGTCTCCCTCGCGAGGGCACGCACCCTATAGCAAAAAAACTCTCAAAAAAAAAAAAACATTTTAAATAAATGCCAAGAAGTTCTTATTAAGGGTCTCAAAGGCTCTCCCAGGCTTCATGGTATGGACATGGACAACCTACTACCATGGGACTTTGTGGCTTAGTGTCTGCTTCTTAAATGCATCAAGAAGAGTCTAGGCTAAACATGTGAACTAGAAGGAACCCCCAAACAAACTCACAAGCAGAAGAGAGCAATAGAAGAGATCACTTGGGAGAACCCTTATGTTTCAGGCAATGTTCTAGGTACTTAAATCACAATAATCTAATCATTCTAACAACCATAAGAAATGGGGGTTATTACTTCAGTCAGGCAGAAAACTAAAGTTCAGGATTTAAATAATTTGCCCAACATTATAACTAAGAAATCAAATATTAACCTATAGTTCTCTAAATGAAAAGCCCAACACTTTTCCACTATATGAAATCACAGCCCAATCCTTATTTCTCAGTTTAATTAATTGCTTTTAAACTTTATTCCTGATCTTTTCATTGGAACATAACTGATTCAAATCTGCTTTCTTTCTTTAACCAGTTCTATAACTAAAGAGCAATGGATAATGAAATTAAGGCCAAATTAAGCTTAGCTCTGCAAGAGTACATCTGTTCCAAGCAACAAACCTGTTTCAGAAAGACTGGCCATCTCTTCAGGTTGTATACACTGTGTAAAAACAGTGCTGGGCTTCCCCCATCCTAGATGCACTCATTATTCCCAGTGAGGCTAGGAGTTAACACATCTTCCCTAGTGCTACATTAGGTAGAGTGCAACACAAGCATACATTAGGAATTAGCTAAGTAATTAATTTATTGCACACACTATCAAGTCTGCACACTAATGAAATTTTCTTACTCCAAACACTGGGGAATGGGCAGGGGACAGCAGGAGTTTCTACTCTTCTAATTTCATTAAGGAACAGAGGTGTACTTGTTTGCTGTTAGGTAATGTACCGCCCAGTCCAGAACTGAAACACACAAAAAGTTGTCTGATGAATAAACGCTACTTGTTCAATAAGCCCAAGTTATTTGTTGAATAAATGCATAATCGGGGCCAGCAGGTCGCATGGTGGTTAACGGCGTTGTACTCCTGCATGGGCAACCACAATTCGAGTCCTGGACCTGGTGGCTTGCTTTATCACACTCTCTCTCTTTTTCTGTCCCTCTCTGGTCACATATAAATAAACAAATAAATAAAGTTAAGTATTTCTTTTTAAAAAATGCATAACCTCTCCTGAATTAGTTTTTAATTCTTTATGAGTCACATTTTCTGACATTACCCTTGCAATACTTATTGGATACATCTTTCCTCTGACAGAAACTACAGGCCTAAATGTCTCTTCTCTCATCAAAAGATGAGAAATTTAAGACATGCCCCCTTCACCCTCTAAAAGTTAGTCTGTCCCAAGAATACGAATAAATCTCCCTCTGCCGGGCTATACTAAGTACAACTTTTCTATGCATTACAAAAACACCTGTGTATGGGACCAGCAGTTGGCATAATGGCTATGTCACTGGACTCTCATATAGCTGACCGTGGTTTGAGTCCCGAACCCAATGGTTTGAATTCACGCCAGGCGCATGTGCATGCATGCCCAAAATCCCAAGAGGAGAATGGAGAAGAGATTGCTGCATGGCCATCCCCCCACCCCCCCCACCAGGGGCGTGTGATTTCTTGCTTTCTCTCTGTCTTTCTGGCCAGCACACATGCCCTATAGCAAAAACCTCTCAAAAAAAAAAAAAAATCTGTATAAAAAAAACTGCTACAAAATATAGATTTTTGCAGCCCTAAGGCACAACAGTGATAGAATCTAAACCAAACAAGAATAAGGGACACTTTCTGACATAAAAGTAAAAACGGACCATATCTGCAAAATGTAAAAACTGAGATCTTTTCTACAGCTAAACTGAGTTTTCTGACATATTGAAACCTTTAATGTGAAGTAATAGATTATAACATGATTCTAATATTTAAATACGAAAATGTAAAGGGGACGCACTCTTGACCATCTTGATGCAGAAACAATATTTGTTCCTATTAAACAGAACTTCTGCTGAAATATCAAAACCATTTCCAATATTCCCATTAAGAGTTAAACAAGCCTGACAAGCCACAAACAACAGGAAACTACCCTTCACGTTTTCATGAGACTATTACTTCATGAACCTCACAGATTGAAGATAGAATCCACCACTTAGCATTAAGTACAGATAGATGACAACCTTGAAAAACAAAACTTTTGTTCAACACCTGTGATGCACGACTGTAAATTTCGCTACAAAGTATAAAAACAAAACTCTTTCTAAAAGCGATTTCTTACTAAACCCAGAAATGGAAGTTCCCAATCACATCACATTAATTGAACCTGGCCAAAGGACTGCCTTAAACTCAAGTTAAATCCAGCAGACTTTATGAGTTTAAATTGGCACTTTAGAAATGCCCAAAGACCTGAACTATTTAAATTTGCTACAACAGCTAAGTTTATGACAAAAACTAAAGAACTTTAAAAATAAAATCAGTGTTAACTTTAATATTAGTTTGCTAAACGATCTTTTGGTGAAGGAAATTTTAAACATCTAGTATGGTTTTTTTCCAGGATGATTTTCAAACTCTCGAACTAGCGTACATTTATGAAACCCACTTATTTCTCACATACCTGTTACAACTGCTTCACTAATTTCTGTATTTAAACTTTTCAAACTTCATTTAACTATTTGACTCTGACTTCTCTAGGAGGGAAACTTTTATAAAGGAGGTCGACAACAGAATAACAGCAAGTGTATTTCCAGTAAATAGCAAGTCTGGTCTTCTATTAGGCTTAAGGAAAACATCTTCTATCAATAGTACAGGTTCAATGCAAATGAATCAGAAGAGAGAAAATGAATTTCGGAAATAAACTCAAGGACCATTTTTGAAAATACAGAATTATCCAAAGTTTTCCTGGCCATTTATTAATGACATTTGTCGTTGCCTAAGTTTAAAACAACAAAATTTAGGATATTCCAAACTAAAACAAGATACCAGCTTTGACGGGGGTGGGGGGGTGGAATCCTGTTTGTTTTTAAATACAAGTTTGGTTGACAACAAACAGGTAGTTTTTAGCTTTTAAAGGAAAGTAAAGAATAGCAAAAACAACCTAAATATTGTTTACCTTTTGTTTAAAATCAAAAGGAAACCACGACAGGTTACGCTTTTCGTAAAAAGCAAAAGCTACCTGCCTCAGGGACAGCATCCCCAAGTGAAAACAAAATTAAGGTTGTAATTTTGAAAACCCAGTTTGAAAACGTGAAATCAATCAGCGTGCTCTCCAAAGGCGTGTGATAAAAAACGAACAAGCTCCAGTCACGGAGCAACTCTCATAAGTGAGTAAAGGATGATCTCGACAGTATCAGTCGTGTATGTGTACTCACACGCAATCCAGAACCCGGGACTATCACGGATAACAAAGGTTACAGAACCCAAAAGAAAAAAGTGGAGGCAAAGTAGCACACGCTCCCAACAGAGCTTCCCAACAACTCCTGCAACAAGAGCTGGCCCTCCGGCTTTGAGAATCAGAACCACAAACTAAGAGCGCGCGGCCAAGGAGGGGAAGGGACGCAGGCTGCCCCCGGGTGGGGCGGGGCAGCTGGGAGGCTCCGGGACGCCGACCCCTTCCTCCGGCCCGGCGGCCCCCAAAGCCCACAAGCCCGGAGCC